AGTACTCTAAACTGTATAAATAATGTAAAATTAAATTGAATTTATTAGCCAATCAGACAAACTTCTGCCTATGATGTTCGTACGCTCCGTACACGAACCAGAAAAAAAAAGGCTCGTTTAGATATTATTTCTATTACATAGCAGTAGCCTAAAAATTTTTTATACAATATTGGTTAAAGTCAGTTCTTCTAATTAATATGCAAATATTAACCACTTTTATTAGTCTTGCACTTATACGTATATAACTTACGTTTCATCCTCATTTATTCATTCATTGAGTATAAATGCATAATGCTAACCAATTTAGTTGGTATTATGCCTTCTGAGAAATGGAAAATCCAAAACTCGACATTCATAGAGTTTATTAATCTAATCAAGTTAATACGTAGCCTTTATATTATAATAAATACGTACTATAGCCCCTGGTTTTACGAGATACATATAGTGATGATATCCTACCCTTCACGTGGTTTGCAAAACTTTACTCCGAAAAGTTAGAAATGCGTGTTTATACTATAAAAATACATTCGAAATATTCTTTACATTTATTTCGTTGGAAGGCTAATTTTTATACCACGTTATATCTGTCATATCTTCATAAAAGAAATGTCTCACATCAAAAAAGCATTATATATTTTTTGCGCAATATATACATTCATACTTTTCTCGATTATAACGGAAAAATTAGTTCATGAATATATTAATACTAATTATGCCGATATGACATCATTAATAAGCAAGCTTAAGATCAAGCCTACCAGTTTATCTGAATGGAAACAAAGATATAATTTGATAGGATATTTAAATAAGGACAGACAAGTGAGGATATATATAACTGAAGGCAGTTGGTATGCAACAGAGGACGTTCCAAGACTCAGATATAAACATGATGAAACATTAACAAATTGCGATATACCATGTATCTGGAAAGTAAAAAATTTAAATGATTTAACGTCCGAAGAGCTTAAAAATGCTGATGCTTTTTTTTGCGTTAATCAACCAAGTTTACCAAAAAAGAGAGCGTGGAAAGGACAAAGGTTCATACAATATACTTTAGAACCTAAGACTCATTGCCCCCAATGTCATGATAAAAACCATATATTTGATATCCGCGCAACTTATCATGAATCTTCTGATATACCTACAAGTTATGTTAGAATGGATTCCAAAAGATGGTTATCAGTACTTCCTTTTAATATAACAAAGCTCCGCCAGAATTCACCATTTATTTCGTTTATTGCTTCTCATTGGACTGAGTTCAGGGAAAATTTTATTTCAAGTATTGAGGCCCATATTCCTGTCGCTTCCTTCGGTAGCGTCCGTCAAAACACCGATTGGAGAATTTATCCTGAATGCGAGGGTTTAAACTACTTTGACTCAAAGAATTGTATAATTTCTAAATATCCATTTTACTTTGCAATTGAAAATTCTCAAGAAGAAGATTACTCTACCGAAAAGCTTTGGGATACGTTTAACCTGGGTGTCGTGCCTGTTATATGGGGTGCGCCTAATACTCGTTCATACTTACCGCATCCTAAATCTGCTATTTTTATTGAAGATTTTAAGGACGCCAAGGCTCTTGCAGATTATTTGAAATATTTAGTTAAAAATGAGACTGCATATTTAGAATATCATAAATGGCGGACTATGAAGTTGTCTAATGAATTTGAGAAGAAATCATACATGAGCATGTATAATGTTGAATGTAACGTTTGCAGAGAGGTTGCTAGGTTAAGGATTCTTGAAGAATCTGAATACAATAATACTAATAGATGACTTGGTGATTATTGTCTTGCATAACCTATGATAGAATAGTAGACTTCATCTTAACGTTTCCAGCTGGTAAGGGAATATCGCTACAAAAGTATAAACTCCAATGATTTTTCATCAAATAATTAATATAATGTACTTAATTACATGTTTAGAAAATTTCATATTACAATAGAAAAAGTTTTATAGGTTGAAAGAGGTTTCGTAACTGTAATTTGTTTTTTTATTTGACCGTTTATCAGATATGGATTAATGGATGACGGATTTATCTGGATTGGAACTCTATTTGACGGACTTTCCGTCTTCACTTACATATTATAACAAAATAATCACACCAATAAAATCATTTATTAAAATTTACATTAAAGTATATGTTGGCTAGGTGCTACAGAAAATGGGAAAATTGATAAATTTTTTAGAATTCATTTTTTATATAAATTAATTTAAAATACAATCACGATCATTTTTTACTTAAAACTTAAAGGTAGTTTTATTAATAAAATTTTGAAAATAGCTCTTCAAAATTTATAATTTTTTATAGCTTATTATAAAATTTACAACATAAAAACAAAATTTCCAAAGATCTTTTGTTTTGTTGATTTCCTTCTTTTCTGTAGTACCTAGCCCATATGTTTCAAATTTTGATGCTAAATTAAAGAATCATTAAAATGAAAAATATATATATAATTTTTATAGTTGCTCACTTTTTAGGTTCATTGTTTCAAAATATCATTTCATTAAAATCATAATACTGACAACTATTTTACTAATAGGACATAAATAGATCTGTGTCATTTCATCAAATATCAATTAACTAATAATTATTTTACTAACAATATTTCTGGTAATTATCATCAGGATCAAGTTTAGAATTGAAGTTAAGATTAGTGCAATTTTTTAAAAATCTGTTAGTGAATAATTGTTGGTAAAATAAACTTATCAGTTAATAGATTTTTAATAAAATAACATAAATCTGTTTCTGTCCTGTTAGTAAAATGAATTTTAGTATTATGATTTCACTAAAATGATATTTCAGAAAAATAGTTTTAGAAAGTTAAACTAAAACTAATTTTATATATAAAATCTTTGCTGATGTTAGAAAAATTAAACTTGATATATTTATTTATATGTTATCTGTTTTTTTGTTTTTATTAATTAATAAGATTTACAAATATAATACTCATAAAATCTGAAAAGTAATTATCATAGTAGTCTATTTGTTTAGTCAATAGTGTTTATGATGATCCACTTAAAACATATATACTTGGCCTTAAGAATATTATATAATTGTATACAAGACTCAATATAGATCTTATTACTTATTTAATTAAAAAAAAAGTTGATTAAGATTTACCTATTTATATTAATATAAATAAAAATAGATGTCAACTTTATTTTACCTTACTTGAAATTTGAAATAAGTATAAAATAACAATAAAAAGATGTAATTGTAATAATAATATTGAGTTCTAATTTTTGAACAAGTAATACTAAAACATTTTTTATTAGTTTTAATTTAACTGTTAGAAATATTAAAGTAATACAACATTGCATATAAGAAGAAGTTAAAAGTTAAAATAAATAAAATTAGAATTCAATAAAATAAGAAAAAAGAATTATAATCTTATACATATTGTTCTTATTATTAATTTGTTATAAAATAAATATGTTTTTTTTTCTTATAAAAATTATTTTTTTTATACTTTTACAAAATAATAAAAATTTATTAATAAAGAACTTCTAATTTAAAAAAATAATAAATGCTTTTTAAAGTATCTATTCTTATCTATAATATTTTCAAAAGTTAATTTAATCTATATCAAATTATAACTGCCTTATTTTTACTTTTGAGAATATTATGTAATGTTATTAATTTTGTAAAAACACTTTATTATATTTTTTATCTGTATTTACAATTATTTAACTTATAACAATATATTGATCTAAAATTTTCTAATTTTAAAATATTAAAGAATTTTTCTAGTAAATTAAATCAATTATTTAAATAACTTATTTATACAGTTTAAAATATTTTTAATAATATAAATTTTATAACAAAAAAATCATTCCTAAATTTGAAAGAATGTCTATATTCAATATATAAAAATAATTAAAAATAATTAGTAATCTTAAACTTTACTTAGAAGTAAATATTTTTACTATTTATTATGTACAAATTATATTAATTGTATATAAGCTTTAAATTCTAGAAATGACTAACAAAAAAAAGCTTAAAATATTATATATAGATCTAAATTAATAAACTTTGTTTATAACAAGTTTATATTAATATTCTTATTTATATATTTTAAATATTATAAAATTAAAACTTTAAATAATTTTAGATTAAATAATAGGTTAATAATATATATAAATATTATTATTTTATTAATTATATAAGTTAAAAATTATATTGTATCTCTAATAATAAACATGATAATAAGTTAATTTTTTTTAAAGATATTGTTAGAAACAAAATTATAATATATATTAAAACTTCCAAACACCAACTTAATCTCAATATAAATTACTTAGACCTTATTTGCTCTACAGCTGTCAAGCATCTAATTCGTATTTCTTTTCTACTTATAATTCCTATTTCTAATTCAATCACTTCTGAAATCTTTATTCTAAGTAAAACTACCAACAAACTTATATCTATCTCTCAACTTAATCACTCTTACCAACAACTATCTTTTTATACTGATGGTTCAGTAATCGATATTGGTACTGATTAATGTATAATGGGTATTGGTTGGATCCAAGTTGATAATAATAATCAAACTATTAACTTCTTTTCTACTAAAATACAATTCTGGCTCTTATTATATAAAGCTAAGCTTTTCTCAATTATTACTGCAATCACAATAGCTTCATGCAATTTAGTAGTCAATATTTTAACTGATTTTTAATCAGTAATTTTTAAATTTAACAACTTTTAATTTTATTTAAATCACTCTAATAAGTTATTCAAATTCAACTCATAGCCTATTTGGCATACTTTTTCTAATATTATTAAATCACACAAATTACAAATTATCTTTCATAAAATGTAAACTCATTCAGATAATAATCTTAATGAGCAAGCAGACTCTCTTGCCAAACAATATTCATTATCATTATTTCTTTTATTTAATTACACAAACCTTTATAATCCTTATCATATTTTTTAATAGGTATAACATTATGTAAAACTTTTTACAAGATATTTTATTAAGCAAATATATAAAGCCTATATATTAGCTATATAGGTATCTCAAAAACATAAAAGTAAGTGATCATATTTTAATTAGAATATTGACTAAAGATCTACTAGCTTTATTTTAATCATAATCACAACCCTTATACAATATTATTAATTTTAGATTCAATCAACTAAAATCTTTTAAAATTAAAATTCTTCTTAACAAGTTACTAACATATCAATTATTTTATACTATTTATCCAAACCAATATCCAGATACTAATTGTTTTTATTATAATTTAGCTAATTCTTACTCTCACTCTTACTGGCATATTTGTGCTAATATACTTTTGCCTAACTAAATTATTCAAACATCTACTAATCAAATTATCTTTAGCAAATTACCTGATCTTGATATTTACCAAAAAATAATCTAATTTATAAAATCCTTCATTATCCAGCTCTTAATTTCTTATACATTTTACCTAACATATTTTATCCTAAACTTATTCTTAAAGGACTTATTCTAAAATCACTCATATTAACAGTTCAAAACTTTGACATATTATACAAAACTGACTCCCAAGTTATTATTAATATTCTTTTAATATTAATGAACAATCATATGAACAATTATAGAAAACATATTGCATTCATTTTTCTAACTAGAAAAAACAACAAAATAGATCTCAATTTCAATTAATCAACAAACCTTTAATATTATCTAATTCAGCAACTAGGCATATATGTTTTTATAGAAACTATACTTACTCATGCCTTTGTAGACTTTTAGATCAACTATATACTCACTCTAACATATGTCCTCCTATTGGTCAAACAATTCACAAAATTAACATTTGATCTATTCTATAGATTAAATATAACATATCATTAAATTATATACTAAACATTCAAATATAGGTAAGCTTTAACCACTTTAATAGGTTTAGATAACAGATAAATTAGTCTGAGATTTTATTCTTATATGTAACTTGCAATTTATTTATTTTGTACAAATAGCAGTAGCTGTATAGTTACAGTTTAATGATTAGCCCTAATTGCAAGTGTTGGCTTTAGTTATAGTATATATACATATAACTATTTTAAATTATTAATAAAGATATAAGTAAGGCTTCACCTTAATATCAAAAAAAATAAAAAATAAAAAAAAAATAATATATATTAAAACTAAAAAAGAATTGTCTTATTATTTATTTACTAAATCAATAATACACATAATAATTTACTTAAAACATATATACCAAACTCTAAAAGAGTTATATAATCATATACCAAGCCTTAATATAAAACTATATTACCTAGTTAATTAAAGAAAAGTTAATTAAATCCTACTTATTTGCATTATAACAACTAAGAATAAATATTTTTTTTTTTTTTTTTTTTTTTTATTTATATAATATCATAGTAGAAACTTTAAGATACAATAAGAAATTTAATTAC